CGAGCGGCATTCAGGCCTCTGGCTCTTGAGCCGACCGAGGGGGAGGGGCGGCTTCGGGAAGGATCTTTATTTCTCTCGGCCGCGGGGGCTCGTGCGGGATCTTTATCTCGCTCGGCCTCGAGGCTTGGACCGACGGCTCGTGAGCCGGTCTTGGGGGTGAAGCTCTTGAGCCAGATTCGACATTCGATGCCCATGGCTCTTGAGCCTTTCCTCTGGCTTGCGGCCTGCGGCTCCTGAGCCGCAGAGGCCCTCGTGAGGGTTCGTCTTCATAGGCATAGAGCTGCTGGCAGCCGCCTGAGGGCATGCTGGCGCACTGCACTCGGCACACGCACGAGGCAGCACCGTGGGTAGTGTGGCGGAGAGCGTAAACAATGTTCTCATGCTTGCATGTCTCTTTGTTTACGCGCGCGTGCCAGCACTTCCACAGCCTATTTTGGTCCTCCTCCTCCCCAGCCACCTTCCATTCTTGAGTGGTCGTGCTGGGAGGGCCGGGCGGGATCTTTATCTCGCTCGTCCCGGCATTTCGAGCTCCAGCTCGCGAGCGGCATTCAGGCCTCTGGCTCTTGAGCCGACCGAGGGGGAGGGGCGGCTTCGGGAAGGACCTTTATCTCTCTCGGCCGCGGGGGCTCGTGCGGGATCTTTATCTCGCTCGGCCTCGAGGCTTGGACCGACGGCTCGTGAGCCGGTCTTTGGGGTGAAGCTCTTGAGCCAGATTCGACATTCGATGCCCATGGCTCTTGAGCCTTTCCTCTGGCTTGCGGCCTGCGGCTCCTGAGCCGCAGAGGCCCTCGTGAGGGTTCGTCTTCATAGGCATAGAGTTGTTGGCAGCGGCCTGAGGGCATGCTGGCGCACTGCACTCGGCACACGCACGAGGCAGCATTGTGGGTAGTGTGGCGGAGAGCGTAAATAAAGCTATAGGCTTTTGATATTCCACCGTGTCCCGTGGCAGCGACGGCGACCGCGGCGGCGGTGGCGGCGACGGCCACGGCCACGGCCACGGCCACGGCCACGGCGGCGGCGACGGCGGCGACGACGGCGAGGGCGCCGACGGCACAGGCGGCGGCGGCGACGGAGACGACGGCCGCACTCCCGAGGTGACGTTCGGCCGCGGCCCAGCGCGATCGCCCAGCCTCTGCGGCCTGGAGACTGGACGCGCAGACGACGCCCTGCAACACCCCCAGGCAGCCGCGCGCAGGGGTTCCGTTGGCGCGAGCGGGCCCCCGCGCGCGCGGAGCGCAGGGGTGGGCGGGAGGGGGAGAGGGAGGGGGAGGGGGATGGGGGAGGGGGAGGGGGAGGAAGGAGGAGGAGCGAGGGGAGGAGGGAGGATTTGGGAAGGGGTGGAGAAGAGGAGGGAGGAGGGGGGGGAGGGAGCAATTAGGAGGAGGGAGGAGAGGCGGGAGGGAGGAGGGAGCTAGAGGCGAGAGTGGGCGAAGGAGAGGAGGAGATGGAGGAGGAGGAGAAGGATGTCGAGGGGGGGTAGGGTGTTGCCGAAGCTCTGCGACAACTGTTTGCACGTGCCTATTATCCAGCTGCCTGCGGCAAGTCTCGCCACCGTGCCAGCCCAGCATTCTGGGTGGCGACTGTTCGTAGGGTGACGGAAGGCCGTCACGTGTGAGGCTTTGGGGAGCTGCGAGGATGATGATGGTGATGATGATGATGATGATGATGGCGGTGATGACGGTGATGACGGTGATGGCTGTGGTGATCATGGTGATATTGATGATGATGATGATGGTGATGATGGTGATAATGATGATGATGATGCTGATGATGATGATGATGATGATGATGGTGGTGATGATGATGATGATGATGATTATGTTGATGGTGATGGTGATGGTGATGGTAATGATGACGATGCTGATAATGACAATGTTGATGATGACGATGATGATGGTGGTGGTGATGCTAGTAATGATAGTGATGATGGTGATGGTGGTGATGCTGATGGTGCTGCTGCTGCTGCTGCTCATGATCCATATGATGCTGATGTTGGTGATGATGATGATGATGATGATGCTGATGATGATGATGATGATGATGGTGCTGCTGCTGCTGCTGCGGCTGCGGCTGCTGCTGCTGATGAGGGTTGTGGTGGTGGTGTTGGTGATGGTGTTGATGCTGTTGCTGCTGATGATGACGATGATGAGGGTGTTGTTGATGCTGCTGATGATGACGATGATAGGGGATGCTGATGATGTTGATGATGGTGATGATGGTGGTGGGGAGGAGGAGGAGGAGGAGGAGGAGGATGAAAATGAGGGTGAGGATGATGATGATGAGGATGATGTGAAGGAGGATGTGGAGCACGATAAGCTGGAGGCAGAAGAGGAAGAGGAAAGCTGTCACATGTGACACCTCTCGTCTTCACTAGTTGAGGAGCACTCGTTTGGGCCGTCTTGTGGCTGTCCTGCCCTCCTGTGAGGCAGCCTTGGGGGCCACCGGGGGGCCTCTTGAGCTATCATTTTGGGGCCCTCTCGGGCCGTCTTGAAGATCGTTTGGGCCAAAGTGGGCCGCCTTGGAGCCATCTTGTGCAGTATTGGAGGCATCGGCATCGTGGCCTCGAGAGCGCGCATCTGTCGCATTTTGCCACCAGTTTGGGACTCGGGAACGCGAATGCGTCGCATTTGACGAGGGATTCTTGCCTCGAGAGAAGGGGGGGGAAGGGGGCGAATCATGCGCGGTAGTGCGATGAGACGGGTGGGCCTTACAGGAGACTACGGAAACACGTCTAGGCTGCACGTGGCATTCTAGCACGCCCCAACATGCCAGGATAGCAGCGAAGGAAGGAATGAGAAGGAGGAGGTGGGAGGAGGATCAGAAGGAGGAAAGGAGGAAGATGGGGGCCAGGCGTGGGATTTTCAAATGCGCGCTTTTGCTGCCCGTATTTTAGCTCCCCCAGCGCCTGCCCCGTCTGCGCCCGATGGAGAAAGTCGTCGCCTGTACGCCAGGGGGGGAGGCGTCATGCCTTGCACTTGTGGGGGTCTCCCTGCCCGCGGAGGGCTGATCGAGGGCCCGCTCCACGACGAGGTGACGCCTCGCAGTGCGGCCGGGGATTGCCAGTCGGCGGGGGGTCCCTGTCCACGATGGGTGGCGAGGTCTCGCTCCGCGACAGGGCTGGCGCCTCGCTGCGCGAACGGTCGCTGCACGCGCAGTGGCGCAGGGGCGCCTCCTCTGTGAACGATCGCTGTGATCGCCGCCTCCTCCTCCTGCTCCTCCTCCTCCTCCTCCTCCTCTTCCTCCTCCTCCTCCTCCTGGTCCTCCTCCTCCTCCTCCTCCTCCTCCTCGCTGGGGCCTCGCGGGCGGGTGGCGCTGCCGCGCCGCATCGGCGCGGGTCTCGCTCTGCGACCGGTGGCGGGTTTCGCTGCGCAGGTGAGGTGGCAACTCGGTGCGCAACGTGGCACCTGTCGTGAGGGAGGAGCGGGAGCCGAGAGGGTGGGGGGAGCGGCATCGCATGGGCGGGGGGACTCTCTCTCCGCGAGGGGTGGCGCTGAAGAGCGGAGCTCACCGGGGTTACCCATCGACCGTTGAAAGTAGGTATTTCTGGATTCCCACCGATGCGATAGTGCTTCTTCCGACCGATGGGTAGTCTTATCAGTGTCACGCCTATGCTCACTCAAGTCCTGGACTCCTCACTCCCGCTGGCTCCCTCCACCACTCACGCTCAGACTCGCTCATGCTCAAATTCACTCATACCCTGACTTAGCCATGCTCAGACTCACTCCCCGCCTCACTCGCACTCAAACTCACACACGCAGACTTACTCACTCTCAGACCACTCACGCTCTGACCCCCATCACACTCGGACCCAACCATGTGGAGACAAACACATCCGAATGCAAAGTCATACACATACCGACTCATACCCAGCCTCAGACTCGGTCGGACTGGGACTCACAAGCGTTCAGCCGTATCCTAGTGAGACTCGCTCGCGCCACGACTCATGCATGCTCATGTCCACCGCGATGCAGCAGGCCTGGCACGTGAGCCCCCCAGTGCGCATAACACGAGTCCGCTCGCGTATGAATTGGTAGGACCTTTCAGGTAGGAGTGCCGTTTTCAGAAGGTAGACGAACACCTTTTGATATCCCCATGCTCGCCGCGATGCGGCAGGGATCTCGCTGGGGTCTCCCAACGGGGAGCCGACAGGGGGAGGGAATTAGACGGACCCGTTCGCGACCATATTGTTGGGGCCTCTCGGTAGAATGGTTCGATTTGGAGTAGACGCGTCTCTTTTGAAAGCCCGCTGGTCATCCCGGTGTAGCAGGCGTAGTATTTTGGTTCCCCAAGGAGGGGACAAAGCCAGCTGTCATTACACAGGCCCGTTCGCGTCTGTATTGGTAGGCCTGTTAGGCATAGTGGCCAATGTTTGAGGTATTTCGGCGAACATTTTCTGTTACTTGGGCCTTCCAAGGGAGAACTGCGAAGGGATTCTGCATTGGCCCGTTCGCGTCCTCATGGGTGGGGCCTCTCAAGCAGACTGGCCGTCTCACACGTGAGTCCAGCCATGGGTGCTTCTGACACGACCGTGCCCGCAGCCATCCTGGCAGGATCATCCCAAGCACGACCGTGCGTCTTGCAAGGGCGTGCCTGTCCGCGCTCACGCCGGAAGAGGCGGCGCCGGCGTGGGCTCGGGGTGGCCCTGGGCGGCATCACCCCGGGCGCGGAGGCGGTTCGGGCTGCGAGCGAAGCGGTCGCGGCGGGCCCAGGAAAAGAGACAAAGCAGATAGATCTGGCCAACCCGTGCCCGCAGGCTTCGGCCATTGCTGTCGGGTATATAGCCGGGACCCCAGGTGAGGGGACCGGGCTAGTAATAGGGCCCTGGAGCCCCCAAACTGGGCAGAATCACTATAGACCAGGTCTGCCGTATAGCTGGTGCTTGCTCGGGTGGCAGCAGTTCCGGTGGGTGGACCGGGGCGGGGGGAGGCGTCCCCCAGCGCACGTCCCCACCGAGCCCAGCTCTGCCAACGCCCGACTGTGGGCAAAGGCCGTGCCCGCAGCCACTTTTGGGCCCGAGCCCGCCGCAGGGCAGCTCCGAAGGGGGGATGCCCACGGACGAGCGCCGGGCCCTGGCGCTCGCGCGCGCGGCCGCGACGCGCGAGAGGCTCCTCGCGAAGCAGGACGCGGGCCCGCAGGCCGAGCTCGTCGAGGTCAGCGGCGGCGGGCTCGACGCGAGGGACAAGGAGCGGCGGCGAGCCCAGGCAGGGGGAGGGAGGAGCTGCACAAGCAGAGAAACGCTCGGAGGTCCGCGCGGATGTCTCGGATCCGCGCTGGGCCCCCCCTGGCGCCGCCCCTGGCGCGCTCCGCGCGCCAGGGAGGGGGGATCCAGCGCCGGTCCGAGAAGTCCGCGCGGACCTCCGAATTGTCATGTTTGTGTCATTCTCCGCTCCCCTACCAGGGGGAACAGTGAGAGGGCGGGCCTTCTCAGAAGGCTCGGAAGGCGTCGGGCCTTTGTGAGAAGTGTCCTAAGAGCCTCTTCAGAGGTGGACGGCTGCTCAGAGGACCGCGCTGCATGCCGGAGGGCCTCTGAGGAGCCCCGCGGCCTTCCGAGAAGGCTTGCTCCTTCCCGCTTCCCCCCCTGGCGAGCCGCCGAAAGGAGTTGCGGGTCAGGCCCGCAGATCAGGGGCAACGCTAGGCCCCCTACAGCTCTGGGCTACGCACAGGCAGCCCCCCCGGGCAGTCCCAGCTGGCCTCAGCAGGCCCCCCGAGCAAGCCGGACTGGCGCCGCCTCAGTCGGCACGGGGCACGGGGGCGATCCGTGCTGCTGGTGTACATACACAGCTCTGGACTTCTCGGGCTCCATCTCCTTCTCCATCTTCTTCTTCTTCTTCTTCTTCTTCTTCTTCTTCTTCTCCTCCTCCTCCTCCTCCTCCTCCTCCTCCTCCTCTTCCTTGTCCTCCTCCCTCTCCCCCTCCTCCCCCCCCACCCCCTCCCCCGCCTCCTCCTCTCCTCCTCCTCCTCTCCTCTTCCTCCTCCTCCTCCTCCTCCTCCTCCTCCTCCTCCTTCCTCCTCGGGGGCCCGTGGAGGCCAGCCGAGAATTCTCGGGGGGCCTGTTGAGGCCAGCCGGGACTGCCCCGGGGGGCTGCCCCGGTTGAGGCCAGCCGAGACTGCCCGGAGCCTCACCACGGGGCACGAGGGGCGGGGGGGGACAGGTCCCCCCTCCTCCTCCCCTCCTCTCCTCCTCCTCCTCCTCCCCTCCTCCCCTCCTCCTCCTCCTCCTCCTCCTACCTCCTCCCTCCTCCTCCTCCTCCTCCTCCTCCTCCTCCTCCTCCTCCTCCTCCTCCTCCTCCTCCTCCTCCATTTCTTGTCCTCATAAATAATTTCTCCCTGCAGCACCCTGAGTCTAGTTTTCAGGGCGGGCCAGGCGTTTCGCCTGAGACGTCCTCACCATCACCATGTATGACTCTGAAGCTTAAACATTGGCAACAGCTTCACAGATGGAGGGCGGGTGGTTTTAAAAAGGTGGCTCTCGCCTTCGCGCGGCGCACACTCGTTGAATTATGCTAACGGAGTTCCCCACATAAAGAGATTAACGGTTTCGTGGGACCCATTTTCTTGATACCCTCCTCGCTCAGGCGGGGCCTCCCTGGAGGGGTGGGAGGGGCACGAAACCATGTAAATAGTATGGTATTCCGATACCCTCCTCGCTCAGGCGGGGCCTCCCTGGAGGGGTGGGAGGGGCACGAAACCATGTAAATAGTATGGTATTCCGATACCCTCCTCGCTCAGGCGGGGCCTCCCTGGAGGGGTGGGAGGGGCACGAAACCATGTAAATAGTATGGTATTCCGATACCCTCCTCGCTCAGGCGGGGCCTCCCTGGAGGGGTGGGAGGGGCACGAAACCATGTAAATAGTATGGTATTCCGATACCCTCCTCGCTCAGGCGGGGCCTCCCTGGAGGGGTGGGAGGGGCACGAAACCATGTAAATAGTATGGTATTCCGATACCCTCCTCGCTCAGGCGGGGCCTCCCTGGAGGGGTGGGAGGGGCACGAAACCATGTAAATAGTATGGTATTCCGATACCCTCCTCGCTCAGGCGGGGCCTCCCTGGAGGGGTGGGAGGGGCACGAAACCATGTAAATAGTATGGTATTCCGATACCCTCCTCGCTCAGGCGGGGCCTCCCTGGAGGGGTGGGAGGGGCACGAAACCATGTAAATAGTATGGTATTCCGATACCCTCCTCGCTCAGGCGGGGCCTCCCTGGAGGGGTGGGAGGGGCACGAAACCATGTAAATAGTATGGTATTCCGATACCCTCCTCGCTCAGGCGGGGCCTCCCTGGAGGGGTGGGAGGGGCACGAAACCATGTAAATAGTATGGTTCCGATACCCTCCTCGCTCAGGCGGGGCCTCCCTGGAGGGGTGGGAGGGGCACGAAACCATGTAAATAGTATGGTATTCCGATACCCTCCTCGCTCAGGCGGGGCCTCCCTGGAGGGGTGGGAGGGGCACGAAACCATGTAAATAGTATGGTATTCCGATACCCTCCTCGCTCAGGCGGGGCCTCCCTGGAGGGGTGGGAGGGGCACGAAACCATGTAAATAGTATGGTATTCCGATACCCTCCTCGCTCAGGCGGGGCCTCCCTGGATGGTATGGTACTGGAGGTATGGTATGGTATGGTACGGTGTAGCATTGGTGTGATATGGTTGGTATGCTATGGTACGCCATGGTATGGTATGGTACGGTATGGTACGTATGGTGTGGTATGGTATGGTATGGTATGGTATGGTATGGTATGGTATGGTATGGTATGGTATGTGTGGTAGGAACTATGGTATGGTATGGTGTGTGTGTGGTAGGAATAATATTGTGCTGTATGGAAGATGGAGCGGGAGGTGGGTGGGAAGGAGAGGGTGTTCTGGGAAAACAAGAACCCCACTCAGGATGTGGGGAAAAAACGAATGCAAGAGTTTCACGGATTGAGGGTGGGTGGGTGGTTTTCAACTTGTGGTTATCGCCGTATTGTGGCGCGCATTCGTTTTAACAATTTGCCAGAGCTTCACGGATTGAGAGCGAGTGGTTTTTGGAAATGTGGTTTTCGCTTTAGCGCTGCGCACATTCGTTTTAACAAATTGCAAGAGCTTCGCGGATTGAAGGCGGACCGCTTTCAAAATGTGGTTATCCGCTTAGCGCGGCGCACATTCGTTTCAACAAATGCTAGAGTTTCATGGATTGAGGGCAGTTCGTTTTCAACATGTGGCTCTCGCCTTAGCGGCGCGCACATTCGTTTAGAACATTTCCAAGAGTTCTCACTGATGCCCATCCTCCACGTACCAGAATGGCGCTTTGGAAGGATGCGGGAGTATGCGGGCGCAGCAGTTACGTTGATTCTCTGTGTTGAAGTCCTAGGAATGGGTTTCTGGCACGATTCAGGATCGTCAAGACGCAACAGTCAGGTTGATCCAGTGCGCTGGAATCCCGAGAACAATGTTCTGGCATGCTCCAGGCTCTTCAGACGGGTGTCTTCCAACGAGGCAGTTCCGTCAATGGAAATGAACCGTTGTAGGGGCCTATGAAGAGGGAGCTTGGAGGAAGGGTTTACTCCAACATCGTTGACGACTCTTGGTTCTACTGGTCCTCTTCCCTCCTCCTCCTCCTCCTCCTCCTCCTCCTCCTCCTCCTCCTCCTCCTCCTCCCTCCCTCCCTCCCTCCTCCTCCTCCCTCTCTCCTCCTCCCTCTCTCCTCCTCCCTCCCTCCCCCCCTGCCTCCCTCCCTCCCTCCCCCAATCGCCCAAGAATCGGCATCGTCGACACGGGGCCTGATACGGCGGCGGCATTGGACAAGGACCTTCTTACTGCGGCCCAGACCCTGGCGCATTCCTTATTGTTTCAGGGCGAGGTGCGTGGCCCACGTTTGGCCGCCCATCGGTCGCGAGACCCTTGGCTCCTTACCGAAGGCATCCTTATCTCAAACCTCCACCGTGGCCCACCCCGCCCAGGCGCCTGCGCTTTTGCTGCCCCGGGCTTCCGCACCGCCGATCTATGGGCGACGCGTCGTCGCCCCGTCGCCTCCCCCAGTCGGCAGCAGGCACCCGCACGCCCTCCGCCGTACCGGGCTGGGGCCAGGCCTGGGCCCCAGGATGGGCCATGGGCTCTCCTGTCGGCGGCGAGCGAGGGGGGAAAGTTCTAGGCCTCCCAGATGGGGTCGGAGTAGATGGGGTTGGAAGATCGTGCCGCATCGCCGATACATCGTTGATGCGGCGCGATGCGGAGCCCGATTTTCTCCACGCTGGCGTCACCGATGCATCGCCCACGTGGACGAATCATCGCCAGTGCTTCGCCGATGCATCGCCGATGCATCGCCGATGTATCGGCGATGCGGCGTGATCCTCCGACACCATCTACTCGGACCCCATCTAGGAGGCCTCTAAAAGTGAGAAGCCGCCTCTTCCTTTTCCCTCCCCTTCTTCTTCCTCCTCCTCCTCCGCCCTCTGAGCAGTTTTGTTCTGCCCCTCGGGGACGGCCTGGACAACCTTGCAGAAGACCGGGGACTTCCGCACCTCGTGAGGAGGCCTGCTCCTCCTCGCTTCCTCCCCTCGCTCGCCGCCGACCCCTGGCCTCGGCCATGGAGGGCTCACGCAGCGCGCCAGGGCCCCGCTGCGGCCCGGGCCCGGCACGGCGGCGGCGCGCGGGCGCCTTCCGCGCGCCAGGGGCGCCTACCAGCGCATCGAGCCGACCGCGGGCGCCAAGCTGCTGTACCGGAAGCTGGACTGGGGCGGGCAGGGAGACTTCGCCGAGAGGCGCCCGCGGTTCCTGGTGCTGCGGGAGGCCGGCGGGTGGGTCATCACGCACGACCCGGCCCTCGACGGGAGCTTCGCGAAGCACGAGGACGGCGCCGAGTGCCCCACGCGCCTGCCGAGTGCCTGGAAGCTCTTCCAGGGGACCCGCGGGGGGCACCTGAACGTCACCACCATGCCGTTTGGCCAGGGCTTTCCCGTGCCCCAGCTTGGTACGTAGACCTTCCTGGCCCCGGCCAGGTCAGAAGGGCGTAGGCACCACGCCAGGGCCCAGGGTTGCCCTGGCCAGGCACGGTGGCAGTGCATACTTAGTGGCCCTCTGCGTAGGAAGGGGAAGTCGCCAAAGTTCAAGGCGGACCCAGACGTCTCGATCAAGGAGATCCCGCTTGGATTCTGGCCCGTGGAGGAGCCGAGCGACGTGCGGTTCTCGGAGATCGTCGACGAAGGGCCTCTGAGAGGCACCCGGAAGCGCGCTAAAATCGGAGACGGACAAGAAGCACATACACATGGATTGTCTGAGATCCGCGCGGATTTCCTGGATCGGCGCTGGACCCCCATCCCTGGCGCGCGGAGGGTCGAGCGCAGATCCAGGAAGTCCGCGCGGAGTTCCGAAACTTGGTGCTTACCTCGTTTTGTCGTCTTCGATGAAAGCGGGTGGGGCAAGGGGGATCGCCTCCGCATCGCCGATGCTTCGGCGATGCGGCTCGATGTGGGACCCGATTTTCTCCACGCCGGCGTCGCCGATGCATCACCGATGCGTCCACGATGCGGCGCGATCCTCTGACCCCAGCTACTCAGAGCCCATTCCGAAGGCCTCTATTCCAAAAGACCCCATGCCTTCTTAGAAGGCCGCCCCCCTCACCCTGCCCCCCCCGTCTAACCCACTCAACACGGACCCCGGGACCCCTCCTGGGGTCCATTCGGGCCAGCTTGTCTGGCCGCTTCCAGCGATGGCGACGACGGCCTCCACAAATGTCCAAAGACTTCCGGAATGAAGACGCCGACGTCGTCGTCGACGACGTTGTCGGCATTGTCGTCGTCGCAGATAAGTTCTCACACGCTCACACAAGCAAACAAAACATGACAACGCCACAACGACGACGTCGACCAGAAGACCCCTCGCCCCGCCCCCCCCCTTTGCGCGCCGCCGGAGGCACGGAGTGCGTGTGCTCCACCGAAAGGGACTGCGGGCAGGTCCGCAAGCTGGAGCTCCTGGCGGGAAGACATGCCCCAATACGGTTGGGGCGCGCGCTGACCAGTGCGGCGTCGGACCCTGGAGGATCCCACATCTGACGAGGGCGTCGGTGAGGCCCACACGGCCTGGCCCCAGCTGGAGCTCCACCGGATGCCAGACCACGGATTCCTTCTCCGCTGGCTCCCTCACAGCAGCGCCCTCACCGCACACGCGGCCCCGCGGGCCTGCACGCCGCAGCCGCGACCCCGCGTGGACGAGAAGGCGGACGCTGTGCCCCGGCCCCGCGCGGGGCGCAGCCGTGGAATGGCACAGCCGTGGGCTCGCGCTCGGTGTGCCCGCACCGCGAGAGCGAGGGGACGCCTTCGGGCAGGCCCGGGGCCGAGGCACCCCGCTCCAGAGCGTGCCGGAACGCTCTCGGCGCTTCCCAGAGCGCTCTGGAGCGGCAGCGGCGCCCGGTGCGGCCTCCGGAGCGGCCAGATCTCACAGATCCGTGCTCCGTCTCGCTCCGATGTTGTTCTGCTCATGGCTTTCGTCTTGTGATGGCATCCGGCATCCGACAGTGTGATTGTCTCAGCGCTCAGGTCGGGCCCCAGGCGCCTCGACCCCGTGCACACGGGGTGGTTGCCCTGCCCCTGCCATTCTTGAGTACCCTTAGGTCGGGCCTGTCCATCAGCAGGGGGAATATTCAGAAATAGCCAATTATCCCAGTGCGACCCTACCTAGGAGTTGGAGCCCCTACGAAAGCAGCATTAGTAGTAACAGTAAGCTAAGCTAAAGCTAAGCTGAAGCTAAGCTAAAGCTAAGCTAAAGCTAAGCTAAAGCTAAGATGAAGCTAAGATGAAGCTAAGCTAAATCTAAGCTGAAGCTAAGCTAAAGCTAAGCTGAAGCTAAGCTGAAGCTAAGCTGAAGCTAAGATGAAGCTAAGCTAAATCTAAGCTGAAGCTAAGCTAAAGCTAAGCTGAAGCTAAGGTACAGCTAAGCTAATGCTAAGGTAAAGCTAAACTGAAGCTAAGCTGCAGCTAAGCTAAGCATCAGCTACAGCTAAGCTAAAGCGAAGCTAAAGCTAAGCTACAGCTAAGCTAAAGCTAAGTTATAGCTAAGCTATAGCTCAGCTAAAGCTAAGCTAAAGCTAAGCTAAAGCTAAGCTAAAGCTAAAGCTCCCAGGGCACTGGGGGAACCGCGGGGCGGGGACCGGGGGAACCGCCCAGGGCGTGGTCCACTGCCCGGCCCTTTAAGCTAACAGAGTAAGAACCCTTCTAGGCAGAGCCTCGGTAGGGAAGAAGTAGTCAGGGTATTGTTTTGTTGACTATGTTTGAGCATGTTTGCATGATGTTTGGACTATTCTTTATTTGTCGTTCAGAATCCGCCTGCAGGGGGACACGCCCGACCTAAGAGTACCCCCAGGGCCCGAGAGGGGCCCCATGAAACAGAACTCGGCGAGAGCCCCAGAGGGACGGTGTCCATACCGCGAGGGCAACTCATCGGGACGATCGCAACGGGTACGGAAATAATTGGTACGATGCCCAACAGCTCGGAGGTTGATAGACCTCCTATACCCTGACACGTCGATTAGCGAATTGTCCTATTTCGGTTTGCGAGAGGGCGTCGCGGCCGTCATTGTTGCGGGCCCAGTCCCTCGGTTTCGGTCCTAGGTCGTTTCCACTAAAGGGTGGTTTACTAAAGGGAGGTTTGTCCTCCGCCGAGCAGCAGTTCTGGTTCATTTTGAACAGGACTCGCTGTCCGCGCCGCCGCGGGTCTCGTTCTTTGAGCACGAAGAATCGGTTGCCCAACAGCGGCCGCTGTTGGTTTTGGACAACACTTGTTGTTGGGCATTGCACCGTGTTTTCCGTACCCATATCGAGCGTCTCACATGCAAATGGATTAAGCAGGCACATCAAGCACGAATTCGGTTTGCTGCCAGGTGCTCTACGGAATTGTTGTTTCCCCCGACGGCCCTAGGGACTCATAGAAGCTCGGGTGGGATTCCGTGCGGGCTACGGGTGTGTGCTGTCGGATGGGGGTCCCCGCTCGAACAGGAGCGCCCTTCGGGGTCAGACAACCCGCACCCATACCCATAGTGCCGCCATTTCCTCGCTCTTCCCCATCCGTCCTCCCTAGAAGTTTGAGCGCTTGTTGCACTCTCGCCACTCGAACCCTCAGAGATCGACGAAGAAGGAGCCCCTAATGTTTCATCGTAATTGTCTGCTGTGTGTGGGGCGCTCGCAAGGAGCCGCGTGGCGAGTTCTACCTCCCGGCGAGGCTGGGGGGCGGCAGATGCCGCGGCAGGGCGCAGCTCGCCAGAGCTGGCCTGAGCGACGAGAGGCAGGAGATCGGCTGGGCTGGCGCCGCGCCCGCCATCCCTCCGACGATGACGATCGTTTTCCGAGGGCTCCGAAAATGGGTTCACGACGGGCTTTCACATTGTAGGGCAGTTTACCGTGCACCTTCGGGGGACCTCGCCCATCCCCCAAATTGGTGGCTTTTCTGGTGCCCGATGCGGGCTGACATGAATTCGACACGGATCCGACATGGATCCGATGAGGCCGACATGGATTCGACGCGGATTCGACGCGGATAGGGCCGCGACGGGACAGACAAGGTCTCCCGAGGATGCAACGTAAGGTCACTCAGCATTTCCAGTTGTCCTCCTGCTGTGAGCACGAGCACAGTGCTCGGCAGATGTTGCGGGCTGGACCGCCCGATGGTAAGGAGAATGGCCATGGAGAGACCAATCCTCAGGATCGGCAGGTCTTTGCCTCACGGGGGCCTCTCGAGGACGACCGAGCGCCTCTGGCGATTTGTCGGGGGGGAACGGTAGCAGGTGACCCCGTGCAGGCGTTGGCTCAGGAGGGTATGCAACAGGAGTGGGGTAAAGGAGGAGGAGGAGGAGGAGGAGGAGGAGGTGGAGGTGGAGGACGAGGAGGACGAGGAGGACGAGCGCGAAGCACGCTCCAGGCTGCCGCCTCTAGTTGGTCCAACGTCGACAAAGGAACATGACGACGACGAGAAGATCAAGGACGAGGAGGTTAGGGCTGACGAGGAAAGGGTCCCCACTTCGGCTCGCGCCGCACGCTGCGGGCGAGGCGGCGCAGCGCGAGCTCTCTTGCACCCGCCGGGCCAAGGTCGCCCCAGAACGAGTCGCGGCGACCGGGCCGCCGGGTTCTCCCGGCTGCTCCCGAGTTGTCCCACGGCTGTCTCGTGCTTGTCGTCCCGATGGTTGTTCTGCTGGGGTTGTCACGATTGTTGTCGGGGGCGGCCAGGAGGGGGGTGATGACAAGGGGGAGGGATATCACGGCGGGGGCCATGATATTTCCACAGATTTCATGGCGCCTCCTCTTATTTCAATACGTCCCCGGCCCCCCCCGGGGCCGCGCACATGCCGCCAGCCATGATTTGCGCCCCCCCTCCTCTTGGACGCCCCCCTCTTGGCCGCCCCCGAGGTTGTCCCGACGGTCTCCCTGCTGGTTGTCCCGAGGATTGTCCTGGTGGTTGCCCCGATGGGCGTGCCGCTGGACAGGCACGGGACAATTGCGAGACAACCTCGGGCAATCAGGGGATAACCGCGGGACATCGTCGGGGCAGCCACGGGACAACCATGGGACATCGTCCGGACAACCGCGGGACAACGACGGGATGGTTTCCCTGTTGGTTGTCCCGAGTATAGCCACAACGGTGCTGGCGCACAGGGGGGGGGGTCCGTCCCCCCCCCTCTCTCTTTGCCCGCGGGCCACTTCGCAAGAGTTGCTGCCCCTTCCTAGCTTCTCGCTGGCGCGCGGGCTCCCCGCCTCGCCGCTGACGACAAAAAGTCTGCGCTCGGGGGCTCCGACTTTGACAGACCAACAACACACACCCATACCCATAGGGGGATCGGAGAGGGCCATGGGTACGCGTTGTCGGATGGGGGTCCCCGCTCGAACGGGAGCGTTCCCCAGGGTCCGACAACCCGCACCCGTACCCATAGCCAGTCCTCCTCCCAACGACCCCCCTATGGGTATGGGTGCGCGTTGCTCGTTCGTCATACTTTGTCCTCTGAGGTCACTGAGCTCCGCGTGCCGCCCCGGCCGGCTCGTCGCCGCCCGCCGCCCTCGTCACCGCCCGCCGCCGCCGTCGCCGCCGGGCCCCGGTGACGCGTTGGCCGGCTCGCCGCCGCCCGTCGCCGCCCGTCGGCACCGTCGCCGCCGCATGGTATGCGTCGTTTTGCATTGCGTTGCATGGGCCATTGCGTCGATGTGCGTTGCATCGACTTGCATCGCATAGCACTACACCCGACAAAAACACGAGACAAAAAGCAAACAAAAACAGTGGATGGTTTGAAAACTTGGAGCCCTGGAGCCGGGAACCCAGGAACCCGGCCAGCCACCAGAATCGGCACGAATGTTTCGCCCTATCTTCCAATTTCCGCTAGGACCCTTTTCAGGGCAAGCGTTGATTGGCGAATTGCGTTGCATTGCTCTGCATGTCAGAACTATTCATTTGGATTGTCTTTGAGGGGGGGGGGCGCCGCGCCTTCTTTCGCCCTGCCGCGTCCGAGCAGGAGCAGGCTAGCGTTGCAGGCGGGCGCGCCGCGCCACCCTTTGCCTGATTCGTCGCGTCCTACTGTTCATGTGCCAGCATTCCAGGGGTGGCGCGCCGCGCCCCATCTGTTGCCTCGCCACAACGTAAGAAGAGCAAGCCAGTATGGCAGGGGGTCGCGCCGCGGCACTCTTCGCGTCATCGTCGCGCCCGACCGTAACGGTGGAGGCGTTTGTTAAGGCACAATCCCAGGAGGCGCCAGACCCTGGAGGAGGATCCCTCATCCAGTGAGGGCGGCGGTGATATCCATGGCCAGTCCACGATTGGAGCCCCACCGGCCTCCAGACCCTGGATTCCTTAAGTGGCGCGCCGCACCCCCTCATTTGCCCCGCCGCGTCCTAGCAGGAGCAAGGAGGCGCGCCGCGCCCCCTCCCCGCCTGTGTCGCAGCGCCCTGCCAACCATTCATGCGCCCGCATTGCAGGCGGGCTCGCCGCGCCACCTCTGTTTGCCGCGCCGCGTCCCAGTTGGAGTAGGCCGGCATTGCGATGGGGGGTAGGGGGGGGGTCGCCGCGCCATCACTTAACAAGCAATGCAGGGGGGCGCGCCGCGTCCCCTCTGCTTCGCCGCGTCCTAGCATGAGTCGGCCAGTACTGCAGGGGGGGAGGCGGCGGGGGGGGGGCGCGCCGCGCCCTCCCCACCCGCCTGCTCTGTCGCGGCCAATTCTTGATATGCCACCGCTGCAGAGGGGGACCCGCCGCGCCTTTTTTTGGGGGGGCCGCCGCGTCGGAACAAGGGCAGGCCAGCATTGCAGGCTGGCGCGCCACGCCCCCATCCGCCTGCTTCGTCGAGTCCTACCATTGAGAAGCCAGCATTTCAGGGGCGCGCGCGCGTCCCTTCTTTTGTTTCGCCGCTCCCAGCAGGAGCAGGCCGACACTGCAAGGGGGCGCGCCGCGCCCCCCTCTGCAATGTGTCGCCGCGCGCTACCATTAATATGCTAGCTAGCATCGCAGGGGGAGGCGCGAGCGCCGCGCCCCCAATCCGCCTGCTTCGTTGCAGGGGTCCATAGTGCTTATATGTAACAAGATGTTGCGCGGGATGTTGAACTAACGGCGGGCTTCCTTAGCGGTGACAGATTCGATTGCCAAGGGAACATGTGCCTTCGCATGTCGACAAGGCGGCGCAGCACGACGCGCGCACGCGCGTGCGAGTGGAGAGTTCCGTAGTGCTCGTATGGGGAAAGTTGCCATGCTGGCCTGGAAAGCACAGGGCCCCCATAGCGGACGCTGTTTGGATTTCCAAGTTTGCATGCGGTTACACGTGTTAGCATGCAGTGCAATACAAGACGCGCGCGGGCGGGAGTCGAGTTCTTACAGCGCTCAAATTAGAAAAGTTGCCATACTGGCCTGGAAAATAAAGTAAATCCTCTGCGGTGTCCGACTGGATTTCCAAGTTAAGGTACGTTCCCAGCATGTGAACCGGGCAGTGCAGCGCACGACGCGTGTTGCTGGACAGGCGCGTAGCGTTCACATTGAAGTCGTCATGTTAGTTTGGAAATGAAAGCCCTTAGCGGTGACCGGTTGATTCTTCAAGTCAACATCTTGGTTTTCATGTAAGCCGAGCGGTGCACCACGCGACCCGCGCGGGCGGCCAGTTTTGAAGTGTTCGCTTGAGGAAAGTTGCCATGTTGGCAGGAGGTGGAAGAGGACAGGGAAGGTAAACGGGGGGAGGACGAGGAGGAGAAGGAGGAGGAGGAGGAAAAGGATGAGGACGAGGAGAAGGAGGAGGAGGAGGACGAGGATGAGGACGAGGAGGAGGAGGAGGAGGAGGAGGAGGAGGAGAAGGGGGAAGCGGAGGAGGAGCTGGCGGCGGCCACGTCGTCGGCGTCATCGGTCGTCGTCGTCGACGAAGGCGACGACGACAACAGCACCGCCGCCGGCCCGTACCGAAACCATTTTTGTCAATCGTCCCCCCCCTCCTTGCCGCCACTCGCGCGGTACCTTGGGCGCCTTCGGAACAGGCGGGGGGAGGGGCAGGATGACGGGGGTGGGACTGTCGGCCCGCGACGCCCTTTTGCCCAGGATCACTTCGGAGAGCTTTGGGAGGGCCGACGGTCGCCAGAGAGGGGCTTCTGACCAGTCCGAATGGTCACACCCATTGCTCCACATTGTCAGCCTTTCGGCCCCCCGTGGCTTCCCAGACGGTCCAGGGGCCAATCTCAGTTGTAAGCCCTCTGCTCGCTGGCTCGCGAGGCCGCCGAGCCTTTGTTTTTCAGTCGTCCGTCCCCAAATGATTTCCTTAACCGCTTGCTCCCTCCTCCTCCTCCTCCTCCTCCTCCTCCTTGGCGGAAATGGTCTCCATTGCCATTCCCTCGAGGCCCCCTGGCCTGGCGCCGCGCCGCCTGCCGAGGCCCGCGATTCCATATGTTTCCTCGATGCTTCGCGATGTGGTGCCCGAACCTCCGGGCCCTGGCCTTCATGCCGCACACTCGGTCGCTGGCCGCTGCCCACGCCCGCCTCTGTCGTCACCTTCTGCGGCGCGGGCACTGCACCCACCACCGACATGCTCTGCAACTTCATATTCGATTGCCCGATGCGTCTGTTCAGGATCACAGAGATGCCGCTCCTGATCGTCGCCATGCCCTCGCTGCACACGCGCCTCATCCTCCTCTCGCTCCTGTATATTATCTGGGGGTGTGTTCGGGCGGAGTTGAGGGAGATCCCCTGAAAGTGGCACGCTTCATATTTCAGCTTCGCGAGGAAGCCGCTGGTGGAGCTGCGGTACCACTGCCACCGCTTGCCG